TTTTTTAATAAATCTGCAAAAATGTCGACAATTCTGTGTTTTTCTGTCAATATGGGGTGCTGTGTGTACATTAATGAGGGAAAAAAAATACTTAAATGATTTTAGCAAATGGCTGCAATATAACAGAGTGAAAAATGTAAGGGGGTCTGAATACTTTCCGTACCCACTGTATATATATATATATACATATGTGTGTATGTTATACATTTTAGAGAAAAAAGTTTAGTTTAGTTTAATCTGTAGTAACTATAACTACTATATTGATTATTGATTCATCTTTAAAAACTCCATATACATTTTTCCGAACTTTGTAGTTTAGTGTAACTAGTGTTCTATTTATTTATTAAAAAAAAGAGAGAGAGAGAGAATATTAGCCTTTTATCATATATCACAGTTATACTGTAACATGAAAATAATTATCAGCTTACATATTTGCACTGGCAAGAATTATATTGATTTGTTGGTCCTATTTTATATTAAAACAATAGAAATTGTTACATTTAGGCATGTGTGGGGGTGTGTGTGTGTGTGTGTGTAAGTTCTTCAGTAGTGGACATTAGACCACACTGTATTGTTTGAATCTTTGTCTGTAATATTTGTTCCAGCTCTGATGACTCCAACAGAAAGCCTGGCACGCCTGGCACACCCGGCTCTCGTGACCTGGAGGCGGCACTGCGTCGTCTTTCCCTTCGACGGGACAACTACATTAGCGAGCGGCGTTTCTTTGAGGAGGAGAGAGAGCGTAAACTCAATGCCCTGGCAGAAGAGAAGAGCGAATTATACGAGGAGAGAGATGGTGGGAGTGGCAGTGAAGACGGCAGCCCCCTCACTCCGGCAGACAGCATCATGTCTCTGGGCACCCTGCACTCGGTTTACTCCATCTACAGCATTACTGATAAGCAGGAAGAGCAGCTCAGAGAAAATGGAGGGACCCCTGGAGTGGGGTCAGATCGAATGGAGGCTGTAGAGAAGGAGGTCTTATCTGGTGAGGGACCCTCGTAACCCCACTAACCCTCTGGACAGGCTTAGGGGGGAGGGAACATAAAGCCTCACTATAAAACAGACAATGCCCTAGTGGAGTACCCATAAGCCCCAATTGTATTGTGCCTGTGAGGGTCTAGGATGAGCTGGTTCTCTCCTCGTTCAGCTGCAGGCACACACCCACTGCACATCATCCACTCACCCTGAAGACAGCTGCCATATTCTTTTGAGTATAGTCATTTTTTTACATTTTACTGTCATTCTGCCTGTCAGTCATTTCTTTGGCTTTTCGTGCTGAAAAAATGAGAATTGAGCTTTTGGAAATGTTGAAAAATGCTTTAAATATTAATAAATAAAAAATAAAATAACCATAAATATTAATAAATAATGTTTTTGTATCAAAACTGAAATGTTTTGCCATTTAATTTTAATTAAATGTATTACTAAATATAGTTTAATAATATAATTCAATAACATAACATAATTTAATTTTATAATTATATTTATATACCATTTACATATAAAATTATACTAATATACTACATGTATTGTATTATAGTAATGGGCAGTCTGAATTATCCTAAAATATGCTTAATTTATGTTTATTCATATATATATATATTTTTTCTTTCTTTTTTTTTTCCTTTACAGGCTTTCATATATCCTTTAACAATTCACACCAAATCATTGATATTATATAAAATTGGTAGCTCTACTCTTATACTTATACTTACAAATATGAGTGTGATAATAAGTGATATTTAGTATTAGCTTCTAGACTCAATTCTCTTTTTCAGCACTAGTTCATTTCCTAAAGACTCCTCTCAGTCTCTCTTCTTACCTGCATTACCAGAGTTTAACGCCTGGGGGGGAAAACACATTTATTTACTACTCACTCTCTCCACACACTTGTCCCCTGATAAACCTGTATGTGAGCACAGAGTGTGATGTTTGAAATTAAACTGTACACATCACACATACACATCCCTGGATGCATTTAACACACATCATCACACATTCCCAACAGGAGCCCCAGCATGTAACTAGCATCCAGCTGGATTTCTGAGTGTGTTCAAAGGATAATGTTACAGAGTTCTATTAAAAACGTGGAGGTGTGAGCCACAGTCATGTGAGTGAACAGACTCTAACGACACTGGAAAGAGGTCACATTGACACCACATGTACACAAACACACTCCACATGCTTTCAAAGTCAGGCTTGTCGACTACACAAACACGAAAGCCACATTTTAGAATTTTATACACAATGCTCACATACTTTCTGTGAATATCAGATGGCTTGAGTACACTTGTAAATAGCTGTGTTTGGTTTTTGCTTTTGTTCATTTTTGTTTTGTTTTGTTTGGGGCGAACTATCCCTTTATAATGACAATTGACAACTTTCTGCTGATAATTATTGAAACACAGTGCCAGCTCCTGTATATAATATGTTCTAGCTTGTCTGTAATAATCAAATTCATCATTTGATCTTCCTTCTTTCCCACTGTTCCCTCCTGCTGTTTGAAGCTATTTAAAACTGCATCAGGATGAATCGTACAAATGAAACGTTATGATTTCTATGTAAATGTAAAGATCCCAATTCTGCAGTCACATTTTTAAGCTCAATAATAGATTGCATTATGCCACAGTAGATTGCATTATGTCTCCTCGGATCCTGAAGCAGTTTTAACTTCCTCTGTGCGTTCCTAAGTGTGTTTATGGTGTTGTGTACTGATGTTTGTCTCTCCTCTCTTGCTCTCCCCAGTTCATTTCCCTGGTAAATGTATGTCTCACACCAGCTCCACATACACCTTCACCACCTGCAGGATCCTGCATCCTACAGATGAACTCACCAGAGTCACACCCAGGTAAAAACTGTGTGGTCTTTCCATAAAACTGTCTTAACAACTTGTTAGTATACATTATTTTATGGATCTTATCCAACATTTTTGACTTTTTTTTTTGTGAGAGTGTAGGTGAAAAATAAGGGGGGGGGGGGGGGGCAATGGTCAGGCAAAAATTTAGCAAGAAATCTAGTCCTTTATGAAATCTGGGGCTTCCAAATGAGGGCACATAAAAAGAACAAAGCAGGGAGAAGCACACTTTGGAACCATAATACAACAAATGGGACACCTTATGGTTTATTGTACAGTCTTAAATCTCTATTAAGGGTTCCAGACAAATAGCTTGTCTCTATAGCAACCATACTGTACAGCTGTGTAACTGGCTCTCTGCAGGTCATATGACGAGGATGATGAGGCGGCTCACTATCATGTAGTTCTGGTGGCGGGCTTAGAGCAGACTCACTGAGCAGGGCCCCCTGGGGGTGAGGATGAATAGCATGACTAGCCTAGTACTGATTAAACCTTGTGTCATGGGAGTGTGCTATTCTCTAGCCAAACACAAACCACTCTAATGGTCTAACTGGATGTATTGTAAGAATGTTTCTCAACCTAACACCAGAACCTTTTTCTGGGTGACTTTAAGCATTATGACATAACCAATTTATGTGTAAATAACACAAACGGTGTATGAATCTGTCTGATTATGTCTGTGGGTGTATTGTAAATTATTGTAAAGCAGAGTGCATGAAAGAACAGATTGATAACAGAGCCATGATGTCTAATCAAATAATGTAACAATATATAAATCCCGTGAGGTTGTATGTCAACAGGCTGTTAATCTATAATCAAAAAAATGTGTATCCAAAATGATAATGAATGAATGCTATTGAATTTTAATATATTAGCTTACTTTTAATTTTTATTTTAAAATAGAACAATGGCATTCCTGTAGGTCAAACAGGTGCTAACAACGTCAAGGTCGTGGGTTTGATTTCCAGGCAATGCATGAAATGAGAGAAAAAAAAAATCTTTTAATGTAATTCAAGTCACTTTTTATGTATTTGTAAAATACATAAAAAAATCAATTGTGTTTTTTTTATTTTTATATATATATATAAATTCCCTGCATTTTGATTGAATTACTCACAGAACTATTGGAATATTTCAGTTCATTTAATTGTATTCACAAAGTTATCAATGCACAGTTTGACATGTGGCTTATATAAATAGATAAGTCAAACTAATGAAGTGTTTCTTTCTCAGTCTTTTGTCAGGTCCATCACCGGCTTCCTGTGTGATGTCCAACAGCAGTCTGCGCTCAACCCCTGTGTCCACTCCCTGCACGCCTCGTCGCCTCAGCCTGGCGGAGAGTTTCACCAACCTCCGCGACTCAACCAAGACCACCAGTACCTCCCTGGGACTAGTACGCCTCCTACAGGAGAGAGGCATATCTGCTGCTGTCTATAACCCTCTCAGTTGGGACCGGGCGGATCGAGCCCCTCCACCAGACCCCTGTTCCTCACACACTGCCACCCCCACGCACACCGGCCCAGACACGCTCCCCTCCACCCCTCCAAACTCCCCCAGCAAATCCAAACCCACCAGTCCTGTGTTCCCTGTAGACTACAGCCCCTCAGACCCCCCCTACGAAACCTTTCTGGCTTCACGGCCAGCCAGCTCAATTCTGAAGGAAGTGCGGGAGGCAGACGAAAGGGCTCGGAAAGACACACCGTGTCAGAGTGAAGTCAGTGTGCAGAACTTGAGACTTGTGGACAAGGTGAAGAAGTTTAGCCTGGCTCCCAGAAATTTGACCCCAGGGATGGGAAGGCCGGCACCGCCATTTGGGGCCCACACTGTTGTAACTTCCCCTATAGGAGGACTGCAAGTGCTGAACTCAGGGATGAGAAGAAACCGCAGTTACCCAGCTATGGTTGGGGCTAGTATGGCTATGAAGGGCCCGGGGCCTTCCAGTGAGGACCTGATGTTGGCCCCTGGGCCACCCAGACAAACTAGCCTCAATGAAAAGTGAATGTTGCCTCTCTGTCGTCCCCTTTTGCCTTTCATTTATTTGTAATTTGAATTGATACAGTATATCATCCCTGCGACAACTCGAGTGCCTGTTATTAAGATGATATTTGTATAGATTATTTTGTTATAACAATTGCTATAACAACCTATTTTGTCTCTGTCCATCTGACCAACATATACAGAACAATTCATTCAGCATCGTCTCATATCTTGGTATATTCCAAGCTTGTGTGGAAAAAAAAAAAAAAAAAAGGAATTTGCACTTGCTAACTGCGAGAAAATGTAGCATATGAAGAGAGCAGAAAATTCATGCCCCAAAATTACTTTGTTTAAGCACTTTTTGAATTTCAAATCTACTCGAGGATAAGCAAGAAAGTGTCTTTTTTGTTGTTGTTGTAAATCTGGTCTTCCCATGTGACATTTCAAAATTGGTTCATTTCGTGATGCTAGCAAGAGCACAGATAGCACCTTAATGCTAATGGTAGCCTAGACAATTAAGTTATGTCATTTATTATTGATTTTTAGGTCAGAATTAACTTTTTAATGGCCATGTTGTAGTGCTTTAAATCAGCCCCTATAGTGTGCCGAAAATCTGTAAAACATGCTTTTATTAGTACAAATACCTTCACAGAAGCCTTTTCCATGTAGTCCAGCCAATTAAATAACGGCAGTGTAATATTAATTGTCTAAAAAGGCTTATTAATGCATAATATAAAAGTAAGTATAGTGTAATACCAGAGTTCAATAACGCGACTCTCAATTGAGGGAGCTGTTGATGTGAACTGGTGATAATTTGCACATTAGCACAAACTCTGTGTTTTACATCCTCAAAAGTCGACTGACTGAAATACTTCAGAGAGAAACCGAGACAACGGGGCTGTGAAGGTGCTGCATGGAGAGTTGCAGCAAGTTTGAACTTGAAACACAATCGTGTTCATGTTATGTCATCTTTTAATGTCCTTTTGTTGAGACCAACATTATTTATAAGTGTATGTGTGGATGTACGTGGCATTTGGAATTGCAGTATCGAAGGCTTGATGGGAATATTGCACAACTACAATTTCATTGGTCAAAAGGATGACAGGTTCAACTGAAAAAACTGTACATTTGCTGTGGTTTTGAAACCTACTGACTGATGTGTGTCGTATGTAAAGCAAGTGAAATATATATTGTAAGCTTTAAAGATTTCAAGGGTGCAATAGGAATTTATAGTGCCTGATTTTTTATTTTTTTTGGACAGACTGTATAATAATAGCTTCGCCTGCCACAGTATGCACTGACATAAATACTGTAACTATGTGTTATGCTGACTTCCCAATGCAGATATTTGAAGGATATATTCTATTTGGTGTATTGCAGAGGAAGCACATACAGTTGAAAGTGCATGAGTCGTTCTGCTCAGGTGTAAATGTGTGTGTACTGTATGTGTGTGTGTGTGTGTGGAGGCACATTTAATCAGCATGACCTTCGTTGAATGTGTTTCAGAACTACAGAGGTATCTGCCATTTCAATGGTGTTTATTTCATCAGATTACTGAAGGGACGTTTTACTTGTATATTGTAAATGGTAAATATGCAAAGGATTTAAACATGCTAACTTTTTATACATAAAAAGAAAAAACCTAAACTTGAGGGGGTGGGGGGTATAATGTAAAAGCAATGACGCTAGTGAAAAGTGAATTTTAAAAGCTCCCCTTTGCAGAGGAACAATAAACCAGTTGCAATAATTTTGTCGATAGTCTTATTTTGCACCATTAATAATGTTATTACGTGTTTGTTCAAGTATATGTCCATGAATATCCAAAGACATTTTCAATGTCCTTTAGAAAGCATGAGATGCACTAGCCTTGTTGACCACAAGAGGGTGTGCTTCACCATCACTGAGCATGCAGAAAAGCTTTATATTTGTGTTTGCCACACCAAATCATTTAAATTCTATCTATCTAGGTTCAGTAGCATATCTGATTCAGTTATAAATTCTGGTCCCTACAATCTAAATGAACCAGCAACTCTGTATCAGTGTAATTCAAACACAGTGCGTGTCCGAGAGAAACCGCCAGAGTGGCCACAACAAGGGGGTCTATAATATGCCAGTTCACTTTTCTGAAATCCTCATTGTTTGATCTTGAGCTGACAGTAAACCTTTAGGGCCCTTGTCTTGTAAATTTGCATGGAGTGAGTAGATGCTCGTGTTCAGACCACAGTGGACTGATCAACAGGCCACTTGGTGTTGAAGAGCACCAGCTATTTACTAACTATGTGATGATATTCACATGACGTTCTCTGGCTGAAGAGGATTTCCATAGAAACTCTCTGCAAGTTACTGTGAACACAAATACAAAACACTTTGTTCTTGCAAGATTGTACAGAGTTGGGTCTATTTTCTCCTCAAACTTGATGAACATTTTGGTTGGAATCTAGAAATGTTTTATTTATAAATCCTTTGTGTAGTTTTTACAATATAAATTTAGGCCTCTTAGCCGTAAACCTAACCACTTTTCAACTAAATAGTTGAATAGGCTGATAGTCACAATAATTATCAATAAACATTGGATTTTTACATTGTAAATCATTGAAAATTGTGTCACAGATAACATATATACATCACAGAAATATTTCAGTCATTTTCTCAATATAGGAACTGATTTTAAAACAATAACGTGACCTGTGAGCTCTGTCTATCTATCTATCCATGCATCCATTCATCCATCTAGCATGTAGACATGGTCAAGATAATCAAGTTCTGAAGCTGAAGTTCAAACCAAGCATAAGAATGGGGAAGAAAGTTGATTTAAGTGACTTTGAAATTCTGTGGATGAAAATGCCTTGTTGATACCAGAAGTCAGAGGAAATGCACTCTGAATGCACAACACATTGAACCTTGAAGCAGATTTGAACCTACAGCAGCATTACACCATGCTAGGTGCCACTCCTGTCAGCTAAGAACAGGAAACCGAGGCTGCAATTTGCACAGGCTTACCAAAATTGGACAATATACAGTAAGATTGGAAAAAGGTCTGGTCTGATGAGTCTCAATTTTTCTGCTGCAACATATCCAACATAAAGATGACCCTGTGCATTCCTACCAGGACTCACTTAACTTACAACAATGACAAACCATGGTTCACTGCAAAACTCAGACTGCTCCATCAGGCCAAAGAAGATGCTCACAGAAAGTGGAATAATGTCTTGTATAAACAGGCTAAATACACACTGGAAAAGGAGATCAGAGTGGCAAAGAGGAATTATTCTGAAAAAATAAGGACTCAGTTCACTTCCAGCGACTCAATTATAAGACACCATCCCCCAGCACTGTGGAGAATCAACTGACAGACGATCTGAACGAGTTCTACTGCAGGTTTGAAAAAACACCCCACACCCGCCCTGAACACCTCTCCACACAACCATTCACACCTCCAGCAACCCCTCTCTCCCCCACACCTGCAATTCAGATCAGCGAAGAAGAGGTGCGCCAGGTCTTCCGGAAGCAGAAAAGGAAAAAAGCACCAGGCCCAGATTGTGTTACACCAGTCTGTCTGAAATCCTGTGCTGACCAGCTGGCCCCCATCTTCACACAGATCTTCAACAGATCACTGGAGCTGTGCGAAGTCCCTTCATGCTTCAAACGCTCTTCATGCTTCAAAGTCCCAAAGAAACCCAAAATTACTGGACTTAATGACTACAGACCTGTGGCTCTAACGTCTGTGGTCATGAAGTCTTTTGAAAGACTGGTGCTGGCCCACCTGAAGGACAGCACTGGACCCTTGCTGGATCCTCTTCAGTTTGCCTACAGAACAAACAGGTCTGTGGACGATGCAGTAAACATGGGACAGCATTATGTTCTGCAACATCTAGACAGACCAGAGACTTATGTGAGAATCCTGTTTGTGGACTTCAGCTCGGCCTTTAACACCATCATCCCAAACCTCCTCCTCCCCAAACTAACTCAGCTCGCCGGGCCCACCTCCATCTGTCAGTGGATCAACAGCTTCCTGACAGACAGGCAGCAGCTATTGAGGCTGGGAAAATACACATCCAGCACCCTTATAACCAGCACTGGAGCTCCTCAGAGTTGTGTTCTCTCCCCACTGCTCTTCTTCCTCTACACCAATGGTTGCATGTCTAAAGACCTCAAATTTGCACATAATATACAGTACCTGTACATACAACTGTTTATTGTAATATACATGCACATACAACTGTCAATTTATATATTTTTATTCCTTATTTACTTGTTCTATTTTTTATTATCTGTGTTTTTTGTTCTGTCACTGTCATTCTGTTACACTGTGGAAGCTTCTGTCACGAAAACAAATTCCTCGTATGTGTAAACATACCTGGCAATAAAGCTCATTCTGATTCTGATTCTGATTCTAAAAGCATGGATCCATCCTGCCTTTTATCAACGGTTCAGGCTGGTGGTGGTGGTGTAATGGTGTGGGGATATTTTCTTGACACACTTTGGGCCCCTTAGTACCAATTGAGCATCATTTAAACATGACCACAGTCATCTTGTGATGGCTACTTTCAGCAGAATAACATGCCATGTCTCTGAGGAAAGTTTCCAGCACCTTATTGAATCTATGCTGCAAAGAATTAAAGCAGTTCCTCAGACTTTGGTTCTGTTTTTGATGTATTTGTTTACTTGTCTTCAAGAAACTATCAGAATCAGAATCAGAAAGAGCTTTATTGCCAAGTGTGCTTACACGCACAAGGAATTTGTCTTGATGACAGAAGCTTCCAGTGCACAGACATGTTGACAAGTGACAAAAATAAATAAATAATAAAAACAAGTGAGTAAAACTAAATATGTAAAAACAATACACAGTAGACCGAATATTGTATGTACAGATGTGCAATATATGAATTAGCGCCGGCCAAACAGCAACAGTTCAAAGATGAAGTGGGCTGGTTGTGAGGGGTCCAGAGTGATATTGCCTGCCCTTTTACTCACTCTGGATGAGTACAGTTCTTGGAGAGTGGGGAGCATTGTGCCAGTGATTCGCTCAGCAGTCCAGACTGTCCGCTGCAATCTTCTAGGGTCTGATTTGGTAACTGAGCTGAACCAGACAGGTACTGAAGTGCAGAGGATGGATTCAATGATGGCGGAGTAGAACTGTTTCAGCAGCTCCTTTGGCAGGTTGAACTTCCCCAGCTGGCGAAGGAAGTACAGCCTCTGCTGGGCCTTTTCACAATGGAGTCAATGCGATTGTCCACTTCAGGTCCTGAGAGATGGTAGTGCCCAGGAATCTGAATGACTCCACTGTTGTTACAGTGCTGTTCATGATGGTGAGTGGGGGGAGTGCTGGGGGGTTTCTCCTGAAGTCCACAAACATCTCCACTGCTTTGAGCGTGTTCAGCTCCAGGTTGTTAAGAATGCACCAGACAGCCAGCTGCTCAACCTCGCTTCTATAAGCAGACTCGTCACCGTCCTGGATGAGGCCGATGACTGAAGTGTCATCTACAAGCATCAGGAGCATGACAGAGGGGTCAGTAGAGTTGCAGTCGTTGGTGCACAGGGAGAAGAGCAGTGGGGAGAGAACGCAACCCTGGGGGGCGCCAATGCTGATGGTGTGACTGTTGGATGGGAATTTACCAATTCTCACTAGCTGTTGTCTATATG